CCAAGAAAATCACTTACAATGGAACAAGAAGCCAAGAACTTACTGAATCAGAAACTTTAGCAGATGACCTCTTATTCCCATCAACACTGAAGTGAAAACTGCGGGGTCCCGTCTGCACTGCTGCCGGCTGCTGCGGAGACAGATGGAGAGCACTAAGCGTCTTGAAGGTACAGGGGACTTGTAATTAAAATTTCCTCTTAGTAGAGGTTAGTAGAGGAAAACAGGTTAGTTAACAAGTTAACAAGTTAGTTAACCTTCTTACATACTCAGGTGCTCCCCTTCACCTAGAAACCTCACCTGGGAGTCTGCACTGAACTCTGAAGGGTAGCACAGGCACTAAGGACTGACGCAAGCCCACAGGGGACTTGGTACTGTAGGAAAAGCCCTTCTAGGTGAAGCTGGTTTCCAAACAGGATACTTACTGACTCAGGCAGGTATACTTTCACAATAATTTCTTAATTTATGTTACATAAATGGACAAAGGGAAGACATCAATATTGTCTAAGCGGTAGTTTTGCAAACAAGGAAACACTTTCATTGAATCCACCATAACCCTCTTCATACTGGAGCTCCACCCATCTATGAGGCTTTGTGGTTTATCGGGAAAGGCATGGAACCTGTATCAGGAGATCAAGGCTCTAGAACAGGCTCTACTGCTTGCTGTGACACTTAGGCACCAGTGCCGTTATCCCTCCCTCCCCCCTCACAAGTCACGATTCCAGGTCCAGACATGCTCACAGTCCTGCTTCACCACTCACCACATCTGCACCAGGCTCCAGCCACACCGCCTCTCATCTGTCTGCACCACAGAGTCACTCCCTCTGCCCAGATGCGTATCCCTGGCCTTGCCCTAGAGAACCTCCACAGTTCTCCAAGTCTCAGCTTCATGGTCCCACCCTATAAACGTGTACCTGAGAAAACTGGTCCTAATGAAATCACCGCCCAGCAGGAGAGGCAACATTCTTTATATACTAAGAATGGCCATGAACTTAGGGGATATGTCTTTCCATTCTGAGGACTGCATATTAGTAGACTATAAAATAAACCAATGAGTCTTAGAAATTACAGAAGGAACAGCTTTAGGAAATAAGTACATTCAACAATGACAAAGGGACATGTAAGAGATGACTTCAAGTATTCTGCAATTTGAAGAGATGTTATTTATTCTGTGGGTTAAACAAATTATACTGTGGTATAAATAAGTGGGAATTACAGGGGAGAGAATTTGGCAAAACACGGTATGAAGTCTAACTGAGCCCTTGTAAACGGCTGTCCCCGCAAGATGAAAGGTCCAAGGCCAGGGCTCAGTGCCTCAACCTCCTGTAAGGACAAGTCGGAGGTGGCTCCTACCTTTAAAGCTTCTTCTAATTCTGAGACCAAATGATGATTGGCACAAATATTTGAGTTTATTTTAATAGCTCCAATTACAAAGTAGTTGCTTGGATTTTTAAAGAGCTGGACTGATAAGAACGATATTCTTAAAATGCCCAATTTATTTTTAAGCATGCTTGTCTTTATTAACATAGCCAATTTACTGTTTTCTTTCAGGAAATGAATTAAAAATAACTAAAAAGAACAAATATTCCTCTGCTTTAACTTTTTTAAATGGTAAAATCATATTTTAACAAAGAATGAAGTCATTGAAAGAATTTTAATACAACCAATTCTTGAAAATTTTATAAAGTTCAATATAAATATAGGTTATAGTACCAATAAAAACAGTGCATTCTGCAATATCAAATTAAAAGAGAACAGTGAGATTCCCTAGGCAACTGTGAATTCTTGTTTGGATATTCACAGTGAGTAAACAGACACACACCTAACTCTAACTAAATCTGACTGGAGTGGGGTGGGAGGATGACTGTGGAATTTGGAGAGTCCAACTGTAGCCCAATTTCTGTCTTTAGATAAAACGAATTTTGTGTCATTCATTAATCTAATGTTTTTAAAGGGAAACCATCAAACATTGTCTACAACGACAACACGAAGAATAGGGAAATCTACCGAAAGTACAACTAAAAGGCACTCACACCTTTTAATAGCATAAAAGTACAGGTGACTGGATTAGGAGGTAAAAGGGAGAACAAAGGAGAAGGGCAGAGGTTGCTATCCTCGATCCAGCAAAGTGGGGAGTCCTCAACTAACAGAGTACACGGGATTTGGGTCTGCCCGCTGGCTCCAGATCCTGCACTCTCCCTACTATCCAAGGACCCCGGAGAGGAAAATACTCTCTGGAACTCTAAATTAAGATGAATATCCAAGTTATCATCAAAACTGAACCACAATTATTCAGGTGAACCAGGGAAAACATCACATGCAACACAGAACTATGCAACTGGCACTTATGCCAAGAAGCAAAACAACGTTCATTCTAGACACACCATTAAAACATTCAGAACAATACATACAAAGAAATTAGATTGGGTAAGGGTCTCAAGGTCCAGGCAGTTCTAAATGTTATTTCTTGCTAAATGTTATATAACATAGCATTTTGCAGATGCAGCAGTAAACAGGATGAGAAAAGAACTCAGACAACTGATAAATGCAGCAACTGTGAAGAAGAAATCAACATGTAATTGAGCAAATTGTGTATATAAGCAATGGCTAAGCCTCCCTTTGGGGAGGCAGGGCTTTGGAAACTAAGCCTGAACCCCCTTTCCTGTACTTGCTGTAAGTAAATAAAACTACCTTGCCACAGCCACTTCTGGTTTTTGAATAGAGCATCCCAAGCAAAAACCTCTTAAGTCTGGCAACAAATCCATCTGAAGTGATCAGTTAACCAACAACTATTTGAGGTCCTCGGTTTTACTTTTCCTTTCCATTAAACTATTTGGAACAGTTACAAATTGTGTCGGTGCTTTAGGATAATTGCAAAGGAAATAATGGTAAAACAGGTTTGATAATTTTGTCACTTGAAAGCAGTTACAAATATTAAAATGACTTAGAAACACCACAAAACTGTATAAAATGAGACAAAAATTCTCTGTGGCATTTATTCAAGTTATCCTCAGTACCTACCTTCTGTGGACATTTCTCGGCACCATAAATTTTTTTTTATTGTGTCAAATCGATGCTTTTGTTCTTGCCGATCTTAACTGCCAATAAATATATTGCTTGGGGGCAGGATTTCCATAGAAAAACCTATCTTCATCAAGATAAAAAGATTTTAGAAACCTAAGACCATCTATTGCAGGCCCACCTTGTTCAATTTTACTGTCTCCATCTTGCCACCACGTTTACAACAACCTAAACACAGGACGGTGAAGATCCAAGGAGAAAATGGAGGTAAAGGGCTGGCAGCTAATAGCTGATTCAACAGAGATCACTTCCAACCATGTCAGTACCAAAGGTTTCCACACTCTGAGCTCTTCTTGTGATTAGAACCTTACTCTCCCAGCTGGAAGCTCAAACCAGAAGCTAGAATTCCAGTTCTGCCTGGGTAAAGGATAACTTCGGTTTTCATAAACTGACAAAGGGTGTGTGGTGGGTAAGGGAGTTCCACAGGCTGGAGGAGCTCTTTGATTGTGTAAGGAATGCTTGGGCACCAGTCCAGTTGAGTAAAGACATATCAGCCCTTTCCCAGTCACCACCAGTTACCAATCTGTCATTTCACTTAACAACTAGGAAGCACTCTGAGGTTTGTTCATGTTTGGCGGACTAAAAATACCCCATGGAACGCGACTTCACTTGGACTCCATACCTAATTTCGCCTTAAGAGCCAAAAAACGGAAGTGGCTGGGCAGGGTCAGTAAACCCGTTACAATATTTAAAAGGCTTTCCTCTGCTGGCGGGATGGGATGGCTGTCTAAACCCTTTCACATTCAACGTAATTTTTAGTACATACTTCTCAAGGAGAAAACTGCAGGTACAATGGCAATACTGTCGAATGCCTTGGTTCCTACTGGAACTTGTAAGCTGTAAATTACTAAGTAGGTGGGTGAACAACTTCATTTAAAAGAACCAAATAACTAAATCCTCTACAATTTAGTGTATTCACAGAGACTGTAAACTGCCGATTCTGAAGAAGTACTTGTAAGGAGTATGTCTGACAAACCCAGCACGTAAGTAGGGCTCAGGAAAGCTAATCCTCCACCCATAACGCAGGAAAACTAATGTCCCGACGTCTCCTCCCAAATGTGGTTTTTCAGTCATTGCGCTGAAATTCTTCGCCTGGTTTTTAGAAGTGTGCACCAGGACACAATACGAAATCCAAAATGAAGCACCCAAACTTCTTTGCCAGGCCTCGGTGTGGACACACAATCTGTGCTTTCTCGAAAAGGGGCCCGGTTTTGCAAACAGTTGTAAGGCAAGCTGAGGTGCGGCTGTTAGGCGTTTCCCCACCCCGCCTCGGGCAGCAAGGACACAGCCGGGTCGGAGGCCACAGGCTCGAACCCCCCTCTGCCACAGGCCACCCCATCACCCCATCGCCCCACCACAGAGCTGAGGGGATCGGACGGGATGGCCCCGTAGACAGTAGAGAGAGTGGCCCACCCTGCCGGCCTCCGCGATCGCATCGCGGTTCTGCCTCCATCCCAACTCCACTGACGTTTAAGGATTTCGAGGCCCCGGGCACCTACAGCCCGCTACCCGCCTCCTCTTGATGTTCAGGTGCCAGGAGCAGAGACCGGTCACCTCGGCCCAAACGTGCATCCACCCCCTAGAGGAAGGAGAGTTCCGGGCAGGATCGTGACCTTCACCCGGACGCAGGCCGACCAACTTCAGAGAAAGTCTGGCGCGGCCAGCAGGGACCTTCTGCCCCTACTTCGGCCTCCACCCGCTCCGCCCCACCCAACCCGGGTCAGACCCACCCGTGATGCCGACTCACCACCCTGTTCAGCGCCAGGCGCCTGAAGCACAGCAGCTGCGACACAACCCGAACCCCCGACATGTCTACCCTCTGCAGTGTACTGCTCCCAGCCCAGTGGTCCGGCCGCGCTTGCGCACTAAGCCGCGTCTAAAGCCGAGGAAGGAGGACACTGCGGCTGCGCACCACACCGCGCCCGCTGTCAAGGCTTGAAAAGAAACTGCGCCTGCGCGCCGCTCCACGACTTGGGGAGGGGGGACTAGTGCTTGGAGGCATCGCACCTGCGCAGAGAGGACTCACGGACTGCTGTCTACTTTGTTTCTGCGTTCCGCGCTCAAATCAAGGGGGTAGGTTGCAGGGTCAGCGCGCTCTGTATGGGGGAGGCCAGTGTTCGAGGGTGGGGCGGGGTGCCTCCGGTGGAAGACCCCGCGGTTGGGTGGGCTGATGACCTGGCCGGGATCCGGTTCAGCTCCGTGCTTAGGGGTCTTTACCCACTCGCCTGTTGTCACCTGCGGTCCAGATGGTGTTTCTGTTTTCGTTCCGTGCTGAGAGATGTCTGAGATCCTTTGTGGAAGGAAGCGGCGTGGGAATAATAGTAGCAATGGTCAGAAGTAATGTGATGATCATAATGCCGCTTTTAATATAACTTCAGATTATTAAAATCTTTTGGGGGTGCCGTTGTGTGCGACAATTTTGAATTATTTTGAGTAAGTTGACAAGGGACCGTTCACATTTTACTGACATTTAGATTGTTGCCAAATTTTTGCTGCTTGTAAATAAGGCCTAGCCTGTTTCTTTTTGTAGGACGGCAACGCTTTTATTAGAATTACATGTTCCCTCAGGCCACAGGCCCTGAGGGAGTAAACACCATGCTTCCCAGATGTCCTCTGACAGTCATGCAGTTTAGTACTTTCAAATAACTAATTTCTTACTCCATTGTTACCACAAACTCCTTACCGTGAAGTCCTGAGCCATATTTTTTGGCACGTCTTTATTGCTAATTGCAATTTTAGGTTTTTAGGTGTTAAGCAAGTGTTTACTGAAGAAAACCATTGAGATTTTCTAAATTGAGTTGAATCTTTTTTTGAGAGGGCAGCCTGGTGATGGAGATAAACCAGGAGCATCAGGCAGAAACATCTATTAGCTGCAGTTCATGACCAGTGTCTGGGATGAAGCCTTCACTCCCTGGGCCTCAGCCCCTCAATACTTGTCACCCTTCCTAAAGCAGCCAGTGTTTTGACACCTTCCTATTTATATGTCATAATGTACTACCATAATTTTAAACATTTTTATACTAAGGAACTTTCCTCATTCTACTTGTTATTTCAGTTATTGGGACATCTCTGTCATCACTATACTGTGAGCTGCTTTTATCTGAGATCTTGTTTTTCTTCTTTTGATCCCGTAAGATTCAGTGATAGGCAACACACATGTGGTCTGAATACAGTTTTTTGGAAGAGAAAAAGGACTCCTATGAGCCACGTAGATGATAAAATTGTGACAGATGTACTGTATTCCTTTTGTATGGCTAATGGTATTGTTATTTACTTTAAGGTATATCTTCATGAATAACTTAAATGACCCTCCAAACTGGAATATCCGGCCTAATTCCAGGGATGATGGGGGTGATGGAAGCAAATGGAACTATGCCCTGTTGGTTCCCATGCTGGGACTGGCTGCTTTTCGTAAGTCACAGTTTTCCTAAGAGTAGCATTTTCTGGGCTGGTAGTGTGGAGCCCAAAGACCTCCGGCTTTAGGACCTGACAGATGCAAGTGTACATCCTAGTTTTACCCCAAATGGTGTGTCTTGGGCAAATTACTTTACCCTCTGAGCCTCAGTTTCTCTGTCCATGGGAAGTGGCAAATCAGAGTTACCTTGATGTGTTGTGAGGGTTAAATAAGACAAGATATTTAGGAGCATTTTGTGTGGAGTGAGTTTTAATAACTGTCATCTCCCTTTCAAGGCTGCACTACTCTGCAGGTTCCAGTTGCCCTTGCATGGACTGAGGGGGAGAATAAAAAGGGCCTAAAGAAAACGTGTTGTGGATGTCTGTTTAATGTTTAGAAATCGGTCTTTGGGAGGCTTCATTTGTGAAACCTGTTCAGCCTAAAAATTCTGTCTGGTTTGAAGTAACTTTGCACCACTTCGGGGAAATTACCAGCCACCATTCAATTGTAATTACTCCAGCTCTTAGCTTACATCCCTCACTACATGATAAATTTTCTGATGCTTAGGAGTTGGTTTTATATATTATCATATCCCACAGTTCTGGCTTGGCACATAAGAATATGAGAAAATGAATAATGGAATGGAAGAAAAGCAAAAGCTGCCTTCTGTTTGCCGTGACACTTTCTACAGGGTGCTTTTTACATGCCTGGATTTCTTGGGGGGGTGGGTTTATGTAGGGGTAGGAAGTGGAGGCTGACAAGAGTAGAGTTTATCAACCTTGTTTATCTACCTTTACTTTAGTTACTGGCATAGTCTAACACATTTAAGTTGCAATATAATTTCTCAACCATGTAATTACACATTTTGGGGGGAGAATCCTTCTAAGAATGCAGTTAAAAGACTTCTCTGATCACATTACCTAAGCAAAACCACCAAGAAGAAAACAAAATATGCCTCAACCCTTCTCAGGGATAGAAAGCATCATTTCCAAAGTCCCAGGACAAGAACTTCAAAAGTAAAAGTTATTATGAAAGTCTATAAAGCTGGAGATGAGTTTCAAAAACAAACGGAAAATGAGTCACTCCAGGGCCTCTCCCAGCCTCAAAACTAATTATTACATTAGTAATGGTAATTGTAAATCTTTCAATTCACTCACCAGTTCATCACCTTAGCCGCAGGCAACAGATAGTGTTTCCAAGTCGTGCTTCGCAAGGTGGCAGGCTGGGGAGCTTGTCCAGGGCAGTGCCTTAGGGCTGGATTTAGTCTTTCACTGAGAAGCAGGCACTGTGCAGATCACTGCGGCATAAAAACCAAGTCTGGTCACACTCTGTGGGGCTGGATGTTTAGTTTTCTAAGAAAGTGCCAACATATTTTCCAGAGTGGCTGTACCATTTTGTTCTCACACGAGCTGCGTGAGTGGTCCAGATTCTGGGCTTCCTCATCAGCATTTGGTGTGGTCACTATTGTTTCAGCTTCACCCATTCTTGTAGGTGAGCGGTGATGGCCTGCTGGGGTTTTCATTTGCATTTCCCTGATGGCTAGTGATGTGGAGGATATTTTCACTACTTACTTGCCATCAGTGCATCCTCTGTTCCTGCCTTTCAGCCATTTCCTAATTGGATAGTTTTTAACGCTGACTTCTGAGGCTTTACTGTATTCCAGATTCTAGTGTTTATTGGCCTTCCAGCTTGCAGACATCTCCTCTCAGTCTGCAGCTTGTCTTTTCATTCTCTTCATGGAGTATTTCACAGAGCAAAAGTCTCACTTTTGATGAAGTCCAGTTGAATCAACTTTTCCTTTTATGGGTCATGCTTTTCCTGCCAAGTCTGAGAACTCTTTGCTTAGCCTTAGGTCTTGAAGATTCTCTCATATGTAGTTCCTAAAGTTTTAGTTTTATGTTTTACACAAAAGGCTTATGATCCGTTTTGAGTTAATTTTTGTATAAGATCTGAGACTTGGGTTTTATTTCTTCCTTTCCAATCTGTTTGCTTTCTGTTTTCCTTTCTTGCTTTCTTCACTGGCCGAGACTTCCAGGACTCTGTTGAATCGTTCCTGATTTTACAGGAAAAGCTCACAGCCTTTTCACCATTAAGTACAATGGCAGCTACAGGTTTTTTACAGATGCTCTTCCTACATGTCAAGGCCAGGAAATTCCCACGATTCCTGCTTCTCTTTTTATCACAAATCTTAAGTTTTGTCAAATGTTTTCTGCATCAGTTGATGTGGTTGTTTGATTATTCTTTACTCTGCTAGTATGTTGGGTTCCATTGACTGATTTTTTAATATGAACCACTCTGACAGGTTTTGGAATAACAAGTGGGCACGTGGTCATGCTGTGTCACTCTCTTTGTGGAATTACGTTTGCCAACAGGTTGCTAAGGACTTCCATGTCTCTGCCCATAAGGGATACACCGGGTATTTCAGCCTTTTGGCAGGGCCTTCTCTCTTCACACCCGCTTCAACTTCCTAATTTTTTATTTCAGTTAGTGTATTTTTCAGTTCTAAAATGTCCATTTTTTGGTCTTCTGTTTCTTCACTGACACTTTCCATTTCTTTGCTTTTCATTATGATGGGCGCCTTAAACATTGACCTCTGTTGTCCAAGCAATGGTGTCCACTGATTAGCTTTTTTTAGTCAATATGAGATCTTCCTGATTCTTGGTATGAAGAGCAATTTTCAGTGGAAACCTGCGCATTTTGGGTGATATGTTATGAAGGTGGTTTTCGTTCAGGCCTTTCCCGACTGGCTCCATGGGCAGTGCTCCGATAGGACAAGGGTGGTGCTGCCGCCTTCCTCCCAGGCGGTGGGAGGAGTCCGGGCTCCCCAGTGTCCTCTGGCTCATCGCCACCGTGTCTTGACGTTGAACTTCTTACTCCATCTTTTATGTACCCCTGTCATAGCAGGCAAACATCTGGGACCTCAGCTGGTCACTGGTGATGGCCAGGCAAAGCCAAGCACATTTTGAAATTTTACTATAACCTGGCCAACAATATTCGAAGCCTACCCATATCAATTTCTTTCAAAAGTAACCCATATTAGTTTTGAAATCTTGCCGACAATATGTGGGGCACTGTGGCCAGACTAGGTTTGAGAGCAAAAGAGAACAGTGGGGTTTTCTTAGCGATGGAAAATTGGGAGACTGAATTGGGGACTCTGCCTGCAGCCTGTCATACTCATCCTGTGGGAGCCCTTTTCTGATGTAAAAACTTGGTGTATTATGTAGTTTCATACAAAATATTATCTTTTTTGTAACTCTCAGGACTTGAGAATTTATTGAATTGCTATCTTAGCTGCTTTATTTATTTGTTTTTTTTAAGACTATAGAATTTCAGCTCTGGCTGAAATGAAAAGCTCCAGCTTTTCATTATGTGTGTTTTTCTCCCTCAATTTATTCATGTCAGGTTGGATTTGGTCTAGAGAATCCCAGAAGGAAATAGAAAAAGAGAGAGAAGCATACCGTCAGAGAACAGCTGCTTTCCAGCGGGATCTTGAAGCCAAGTACCATGCCATGATCTCGGAAAACCGACGTGCCGTTGCTCAGTTGTCTTTGGAACTTGAAAAGGAGCAAAACAGAACGACTAGCTATCGAGAAGCCCTTATCGCTCAGGGACGCAAGTTGGTGGAAGAAAAGAAGCTTCTGGAACAGGAACGGGCTCGGGTCATGCAAGAAAAGAGACAGTTGCAGCCCTTGAGAAATGCGTATCTGAGCTGCCTGGAAAAGGAAGAAGACTGGCAGAGGAGGGCCCGGCTTCTGCTGAAAGAGTTTGAAAGCGCTCTTTCAGAAAGGCAGAGTATCTACTGCAGCCTGGTCCTCCCTCGCCGCAAGCGCCTGGAAATAGAGAAGAACTTACTGGTCCGAGCATACACCGACCCCATTGCTGCAGACCTAGAAATGGCAGCAGGCTTGACCGACATATTTAACCATGATACCTATTGTGGTGATGTCTGGAACACCAACAAACGCCAAAATGGGAGACTCATGTGGCTGTATCTCAAATATTGGGAACTACTTGTTGAAATGAAAAAGTTTAAGAAAGCAGAGAAAGCCATACTAGAAGAGTAAGAGGAGAGGATGAAATAAGACTTCTTGTAATGACTCAAGGTCAGACCGTCTTTGTGGCATTCTGGGTTATCCAGTGGTTGCTTTTTCCCTTCTTCCTGTTACCTGAGTCACCTGTGTTGTGGCCACTTGCACAGTGTCCTTCCAGCCTGCCACCCTCTGAGTGGGACAGCAGCCGTCAGCAGACACAGGGTTTGCTCCCTGATCCTCTACAGTTACTAAGGAAGCTGTTTCTCAGAAGCGGTTTTTAAGCTGTTGCCATTTTATTAAGCAAAGAGTATATATAACCTCATATCTTAGCTCTAGCGTAAAACTGTTTTTTAAGAAAGCGAAATACAGTAGTGAGCCGCGCTATAAGAAATTTCCTGTCTGGTTTTATCACTACCTAAATAACTTCTGCCTTTTCCACAAATTATTTTTCTTTCTTCTAAAATTACATTTAGAAGTCATCAGGTAATGGATAGAACTTCCTACTGCCAAGTAATGGACAGAACTGCCTAACAAATGGCAATTGGGAAACAGTAACATTATTGAGGATTTATATTTTAAACATTTCTCCCACCAAAGGGAAAAAAGGGTTTCTTGTATCCACTTGATTCCCTAGTAAGTGTTTGGAATTTGGCTTGTCTGTATTCAGTAAACAGATATTGTTGATTACTGATGACATACAGTAAAAAAAAACCTGCAGTTTCAAAGATACCTACCACTTACATGTATAATTTTTACTCCTTACAAAATGTTTTTACATAGATTATCTCGATTTTTGCCACAAATCAATAGGTAGGAAGGCTCTCGTGGCCCTGTTTTTCACAAAGCTAATATAATATGAATCAGCCTTTACTATTCTTTATGCATGTCACTCAAGTAATCCCAATCCCACCCCTGTGCAGTAAGTTAACGTTACCATCCTCTGGGTCCAGGGTCCCCGAGACTACCCCTAGGTTGGATGACTCAGCACAGAGCTGTGCTCATCGTGAAGATTTAGTACCTGGAAAGGACACAAAAGGAAAGGCTTGTGGGGTGGAGTGAGGAGATCAGGTGCAGCTCCTGAGGCCCCTCCCAGGGGACTTGATTCCCAGCAACGAGCTTCGACAACCTACAAGGGACACTCCACAGAGATAGCACCCAGCGTTTCTGCTGAGGGCTGGTCACGCATGTACCCTCTGCCTGGCATGGCACATGCCCAGCAAATTCCAGAATCCCAGAAGGAAAGCAGGTGCTCAGTCCGAACTCTCTGCACATGGTGTAGGAACAGTCAGCCACTCTTACTGGTTAATGGTGGTGGGAACCCTCCCGAAACTCAGGACCCCAGATGCTAGCCAACTGCAGACTCCCTAAGCAGACCTTTAAGAGGACACCATGTCAGGCCTGCTGTGTGAACTCTTTTCTGTCCATCATTTTACAGGTGAAGGGAGCTGGCAGCAAGGTCAGCAAAAGTTACCTGCTCAAGGTCACCCTGCGGTCACCTTGGAGCCAGCATGGACCCAGTCAGTTTGGCTCCAGAGCTGCTGCTAACTTAGGCACAAATGTACCATAGTAAGTGGCCTTGCAGTGACAGGGTTGAGATCCATCTAGTTTCAGATCCTGTCTCCCTGCCCACCTGCTTGCCTGTCTGTGTGGCAGTAAGACATACTACTGAAAACATTAGGCTCATAGAAAACTTCAGTTAACAGTAGAGTATAATCATTAGAGCTGCACTTTGTGGAGTCCGTACTGCCCACTGAATCTTATGTAACTTATGCTTATGTGCTGTTTGAATCCTCAGAACCATTTCAGAGATGAGAAAGCGGCCTCAGTAAGTTCCCTACAATGGAGGCAGGCCCTGTGCCCGGCTCTGCCTGGAGCCCCGGGGCTCTGCTCACGGGCCCAGAGCTCTCCCCGAAGGCTCAGAGAGTCTTTCCGCCCTATGGCCACCGCCAATCCGAGCACGTGATTTCTGCCGTTAGATCTGGTGCATGTTCTGGTTCCTGTTTCTCCAGATTTGTCACATGTCCTTGGATAAATTACTTAATGCTTTTTCTCTTGGTTTTTGTCATTAAAATGAGGAACATACACCCAGCCGTTTAGTAGGTGAATGATTTTCAAGGAGAATCGTTAGTCTTCATCGTATTTTTTAGTGTCCAACATGCTCTGAGCCTCGCCTCCTTCAACAGCTAGAACAGGTGAATATGTTCAGATAAAATCACTTTAGATTGTAAAAGTAGTACGACAAGCTTTCTACAGAAAAAATGAATTAGGCCACATTGTATTTGCCTGGCACAGTTGCCTTCTATTGGCAGACTTCAGTGTCAGTTTGATGCCATCTGTCTTTTTTGGTAAAGATGTTATTTATTTACTTTCTTAGGGGAAGGAAGGGAGAAAGGAAGAGAAACACCGGTGTGTGAGAGATACATGGTGGCCTCACACACCACCAACTGGGGACCAGGCCTGTGTCCTGACTGGGAATCGAACCAGTAACATTTTGGTTTGCAGCTGGTGCTCAGTCCACTGAGCCACGCCTGCCAGGGTGACATCTGTCTTTTTAAAATTGATGTTGTTAGGTTTGAAATGTTTATACAATGTGGTTCACAGCGTCACAGATGTACCAAAAGATTTCTGGATAAAGTGAGATTATGGTGGAACATTGTTGAACTGAAATGGTTTTACAAGGAGAAAAAGAATAGCTACTCAAGAGCTGTGTGAGTACATAATTGAAATGAACTCTCAGGCACAGGAGTTGTTAAAGTAGGATAAATCAGCGCCCTCTCTTGGCCAGAACGGTGAACAGGAAGTGGTGCTGAACTCCAGGAGGAAAAACAATGCTTAATCCTCTATAAAGGACGTAGGGGCAGCAAGGATGGGATCCCTATGTTCCAGGTGGTGGTCCCCACAGTCCAGAGAAATTGTCCCCCAGTGTCCATCACAGTGGTCCCATCATATCTCCATTTGATTCACCTGTCTGTCCCCTATCCCGAATACCTTTTCTTTTGAAATTTATTTTTCAATTACAGTGACATAAAATATTAGTTTCAGGGGTACAGTACAGTGATTAGACATTTATGAGTGCATTTTCTCACATCTACAGTTTGCTTCTGTGTGGGAGCCACATCTCCTGCTCCTGGACCGCTGCAGAAACATCAGGCATCGTGAAAGCCACACGTCACAGGCTGGGCAGGTGCAGTGAAAGCCTGTTGTGGCTGGGTGCGCACACTCAGGGCCGGGCTGAGCGAGTGCACAGGAGCATGACGTTAAGTGTGCGCACCGGGCATGTGCGGAGGCACGGTCCCGTTCAGGCTGCTCCATGGGCTTCGAGGTGGCTCCACTGAGCCCCCGGCCTCTTGGGTTGCGTAAGAATGGATTGTTCCCTGGGGACTCCAGGGCACAGGGGACATTTGCCACCAGCAGACATCTGTGTGCCTGCTCCTGCCCCAAATCACAGATCCCAGGCCACCATGCCACCCCTGGGCCCTTCTGTACCAAGGCTGCCAGGCTCAGCCAAACACATGGGGTCCCACCTGGCTGGCACCCAGAGGCCAAGTCTGTCATCAAGAGAATTGTACAGACACAAAGAGTGGAAGCTACTCTGCTCTTCGCAGTTAGAATAAAATTATTTTAAAAGGTTGCCATGCCTACTCTCTTTCCAAGAGCTTCTTACAATGGCAAACTACATGTGCCAGAAATAGGATTCCAGAGACAACTCGCAAAATAGATCCAGGTGTGCAGCAGGTCAGCAGAGAGCAGATCTGATTAGCATGGATGCTCCAAGTACCCACTTCCCTATCCCCTGTCCACTCAGTGGAAGGAAGGTTACTGCCCCCCTCAGCCAGCAGGCCCCCAAGAAAGCACTCACTCACTCTGGAGACCCAACCCCAGGGGCCCCACTCCTTTGTGGGAGGAAGGCATGGGACATACCTAGGGCAGGAGTACCTGGGTGGGGACACACCTAGGGAGGGGGCGGCGTGGAGTTGGACCACAGGGCAAACGCTCATGGAGCCTCTGGTGTAAGGAGGGTTTGGCCAGATAAAGTACTAGCTTCTGTCTTAAGAAAATGTTTTATTTTCTTAGGTTCCTTTAAAAATTCTGAATTGCACTGAAATTAAAATCACATCTGAATAAGACACACTAATGTTTTATTTGTATTTGATCATCCTCATCACCTTTGCACCAATCAGAGCTTGGTGGAAACCAGGCCCGCCTGTGTCCTCTCGTGCACCAGGACTGCGACAACCAGGCAGAGCTGCTCCCTTGGACCCACAGAGGGCCCTGCCTGGGGCCTGGGCCTCTGAGTCTAAGGAGGCGGAACCTGGGCAGCAGGGAGCAGGGTCCTTGTGGGCACTGTGGCTTCCCTGCAGCGCAGACGCCCTCCCCAGGCTTCGGTGGGTGGAGAAGGCCTTTTGGTTCCTTAACCCTGTGCTCTCGGGCTCACCAGCAGCAGCAAAGCCTGAGCACTGCAAACCCCTGGAAAGTGGATAGAAGCCATTAGTCACCGAAGCCCATGGTCCATGGTCTGCTGGCCTTTGTAAATACCCAAACAGACGTCACCTGGAAGCATCAGCACCACAGACGGGGGGGGGGCAGCGTCCGGCTTCCATGCTCTTCACCTCCACTCTTTTCCCAGGTGGTTGTTTTCTGACATCTGCTCTGTGACATCTCCTCTCATTTCTTCCCCCTCATGCCAGCCTGATGTCCTGCTCCGCACCTCCTCTTCGCTACCACTACCAGCCTGCACCTCACACACAGCCCGGGATGCACCATGACCAGACGGCGACTCTAGGTCCCTGGTGCCTTTGTGCCCACCACTGATGGTGGCTTCTGTGGGCATTTTCCATTCCAACGTGCCCGCTGTGCTCTGATGCTAAAGTGGCCCTTGTGTCACATCTACTAGGAGGCAGGGCTTCTTCTACAGTGCCTAACGGATACCACGAACAACTCTGACTAAGCAATGCTTTGGGCGTCAGTGGTGAGGGCACCAATGCTCGGCCCAAGCTGCCGGCCTGGGGCTGAAATTCGACCTGCCGGCTGAAATGCCAGACCCGCTGTGGCCTTTTGAGAGGACTACTCCATTTGTTTCAGTGCCCTGGAAAAGTTTTCTAGAGCAGTTTTGAAAGCTTGCAGCAAGAAAGTTCCAAGTTCATTGCTTGTTTCTTGAATATCCGGGTCAAAGCTCCCAAAGACTGGTGTGGAGACCTCGATGTCATCCCGGCCAGCTCTCAGCAGCACCCCACGCAGGTCCTCGGCAATAGTGTTGTATTTCTGCTGGTCAAATCTGGACATGGCCAGCTCATCCTGGGGGTAGGCGGCACCCTCAGGGTAGCAGTCCTTGGGCACTGGGAACTCCACCCACCGCAGCTTGGGGAGCTCACAGAGAGCCAGGAAGAGGCGCCGCAGGGCGGAGGCGGACAGCGGGTTGCCCAGGAAGCGGAGCTCCTGGAGCTGGTGACAGGGGCTCAGGGCCAGGATCAGCGTGCTCAGGTGGCGGTCCTCGATGCTGCACTCCTCCAGGGTGAGGACCCTCAGGGTCTGGGCGGCCCTGCCCAGCAGCCTGAAGAAGGTCGAAGGGAAAAGGTGGACCAGGCTGTGCCCACTGAGGTCCAGCACCTCCAGGTGGGTGGCATGGGTGCAGTCTGCCAAGAAGGCCATGTCCGCATGGTTCAGGGAGCAGTTGGCCAGGTCCAGCACCCTCAGCGGGGTTCTCAGGGGGCTGCAGGGTGGGTGGAAAACAGCAGATGTGAGAGGTGGTCCCAGGGCAGAGCTCTAGGGGCAGTCGGGTGGATTCCGTGTTGGGCCAGCAGTCCACACTCAGAGGGCCAAAGCCACCAGCTGCCTGATTTCATCCTGCCTGAGAGCTAAAATGGTTCTGACATTTCAAAATAGTTGCACAAATCAAAAGAATAATAGTTTGTGATATGGGAAAACTACATGAATTTCAAGTTCCAGTGGCCATGAATTAGGTGTCATTGGACACAGCCTTGCTCATGTATCTATGCGCTGTCCGTGGCTGCCTCGGGGTCAAAAGGCAGAACTGCACCCTTGAGACAGTGGTGTGGCTGTGGGGAGGGAAGAGTTAACTTTACCAAAGGCAGGTCTGGCCTTATCTGCAGTTCCTGAAAGGACAAAACTGTGTTGCCAACCCTTTGTGGGGTGACTGTAAGGAAGTGACCACAGTGGTCCGTTAGAGAACGTCTGCTCATAAGCTTGTTGCAGGACAGTGAAGACACATGTGAACTGGCAGGAACTGAAACACCCAGGTTTCATTCAAGAGTAAAAGCCAGAAGGTTTTCGGGCTGGGAAGGGCCTCGGAGCCATTTATTCCAGGCTTAGCATTGCTTGGGACCCAAAAGGCCCTGCCTTTGTGATGGAGGTGGCCTGACATTAATAAACACACAGCCGGGTGCAACCCTGCTTTGGCCCAGGGTGTTCAAAGGCAGGAACAGCATGTGCCACAGGTCCTTTGAGAGACGCCTGGTGTCACAGGACGAAGTATGGTGTCTTGTTCTCCATCCCTGCCCATCCTCCTGCTGGAGCTACCTCCCCCACCACTTCCTGCACCTGCACTATGCATGCACCAAGCACCTGGTGTCTACCCATGAACCTGCATGACTGAGCGCTTGCTGTCTACCCATGGTGTGCTCACAGTGTCCTTGCTTGGCTCCATGGGTGAATGTTTCTCTTCTCATTTTTTTGATGCCAGGTCCACCCATGAGGAAATCCAGTCAATCCTCCCTCACATCAAGTTCAGGTCTGAGCTCTGCTCTCTACCTGCCTTGCTCACAGGTGATCCTTCCCCAGTCCTCTTTTACCTGCACTTGGCAGGGCCTCCTGTGTGGAAAAGGGTCAACAGAGCAGGCCTGACTACCACCCTTGGGAGGCCTGTATCTGGAGCTTGGATTTGGGGAGGGTCCTGCCATCCAACTGATGGGTGGTCCCTGGCCTTAGATTGTTTGCAAAAACAACACGGTTCATACGAAGCCCCTGCTTCCTTCTGGGGTACGGAGCCCACCTACTAGTGCCCAGAAAACACCCCGGGCATGGGTGTCTAATGAACCCCTGGTAGATGACACCCACACAGTGCCGAGGGACAGAGCGTGTCCAGCTGCTCCACCGGGAGGCGACCTGGGAGCCCCTGCCTGACCCCGCCACCCTGCCCCACCTCGTCCCACAGGCTTTCTCTCTGTGGACTGTGCCGTGTCCTTTTCTAACAGATCACAGCTGTGAGGACGACTGTGGACTGAGTCCTTCGAGGAATCGCCAAACCTGGGTGGTCTTGAGTGCCTGACACCTCCTACAGGGGTCTCCTTGCCCCTCCATCCAGGTGTGTTGGGTGGACCAAAGCGGCCAGAGCGGCCCTTGAGAATATGAACCGATGATGCCACCCCCTTGTTCAGAACTTCCGGGGCTGAAGCCCTTCACTCTTTTTTTCCTTCCCACTGCCCTCTCCCTGCTGATGCCTGGCCCTGCCACACCCCAACTTGGACCTTATGCACCTGGGATCCCCTTCCAGGTTATTGTGCAGGAGGCTATTCCTCAGTCTCAAAGGTGACCTCAGGGGTGTGCCTTCCCTGACGGACTCCATGGACCTTCCAGGAGCCTTAGACAGGCTCTCGGCAACCAGCCTGACTAAAATCTGCTATGGAGCACGGGCTCCATCCATTGGAGGGTCAGAGTGTGCTGGGCAATGGGAGGGTATGTCAGGGGCTGCACAAACAGCACAGCCCTGTCAGGCCTGTGATGGGTCCTTTTGGCTGTGGAACACATTCCCCAGCACAGGGGCACCTGTGGGTTGAGGACCCAGGACAGCTAAATGCGGGACTGTCCTAAAGGTGCCAGAGAGCCAGCCACCCATCGGAGATTTACTTATATGTGGGCGTGGTGGCCACCCTTCCCTGTGTCAGGGGATTGGGTCCCGTGGGGGCAGGAGGAGGAGCCCTCCTGCCTCTACCTGGCAAACCTGGGATGGAAGAGCAGGGGTGGGGAGCCAGGGGACCTGGAGCGGGGAGAAGGGGTGTGGCCTCAGGCCATCTGGGCTGGCAGCTCCTGGGTTCCATTTGTGTAAAAGAGAAACACCTGGAAGCCAAGGGCTCCCTAAACTAGAAAAGAAACCTTCACACTCCTTGGCTCAAGAAATGAAAGCTCAATTTTCTATACACTTTTATGAGTATATTCAAGGTGGGTGACCACCAAGGTGATCTAACAGCCCTCCTGGTGCTCCCGCCCTTGTGTGGTGGATGGCTCCTAACCACCGTAATGAGGACAAAGTGAAGACACACTCTCTCGAGGAGGCTACAAGGATGGCCTCCGCACCGGGCGCTCTGACTCTCGGATGAGCAGCCAGAGGCTTGTGGCGAGCCCAAGTGACATAAAGACCAGGCCACCTGCCCACAGCCAGGTGAGTGAACCTGGAAGCAGATCGCCCACTTTCCTGCCCAACCAAGCCTTCAGGGAGTCCACAGCCCACCAACAGCCAGAGGCAACCTTGAGGTAAACTTGTGCATTCAGCCCAGTGCTGGAGTAGTTTGTTACAACAGTAAGTGGTTAACACGATATAATACAGTTACTGCTGTGCCATTCGTTTGCTAATCAGTAGTTTTCTCTTTTGCTTACTGACTGGAAACAGTGCTACCCACTCGCCCTCTAGTCTGGCCCTCCTGCTGCTTTCTCTTGTAAGTCGCAAGGTCCTGCTAACTGGTCCTTGGTACATCTTTTTTTAAAATATTTTATTTATCTTTAAAGAGGAAGGAGGGAGAGAAACATCAATGTATAGTTGCCTCTAGTGCATCCCCTGCTGGGAACTGGCCTGCAGGGAACTGGCCTGCAACCCAGGCATGTGCCCTGACTGGGAATCAAACTGCGATCCTCTGGTTCGCAGACCTGCGCTCAATCCACTGAGCTACACCAGCCAGGGCCTTGGTACATCTTTAGCTTAGCTTCCAAGAGGGCCCTAGGTTGCCCTGACCCAGATGGGCGGCTGTGCGCAGACATTGCACCCACCCTGCAACCTCCCTCTGGTGACCCCAGACTCACCCAAGCAGTTTCTGGATCTTGCCCGTCAGTGTGGAGAAAGCCACACTCAGCTCGGTGAGCTGGGTCATCTGGCTGAGCTCCCAGGCGATGGAGGTGAAGAGGGGGTCCTCATCCTCTGCGGTTGGGGTGCAGGCAGGGGGCCTGTCAAAGGCCTTGGCAGGCAAGGTGAGCGAGGTCAGCTGGGGGAAGTGCACCTGGGCCAGCAGCTGCTGCACATGGCCAGCATGCAGACGCACATTGTGCACCACCTGCAGCCTGCGCAGCTCGCCTGGCCTGGCCAGACACAGCACCTGCAGGAGCTGACTGGGGTCTAGGCTGTCCGCCCGGAAGGACAGGCAGTGCACACGCAGTGGGGCGGGGCCAGCCGGTGCCAGGGCCTGTACAACGGCCTGGAAGTTTCCCTCAGTGACGAAGAGATCCGCCAGGACCTTTATGGAATGCTGGGCTGCATGGGGACCCACCTGCAGCTCACAGCAGGTCCTGGCCAGCAGCTCAGTGCGGCCCCACCTGCCCAGCGCCCTCCCACAGGGGCACTGTTGCACCTGCACATCTCGGACTCCCATGAGGTCGGCCAACTGCAGCCGCTGCCGGCCCCTGCCCCGGAGCACGTGGTCCGCCAGGCCCCTCACACAGGCCTCCAGGCAGGCCCTGCAGGCCCGGTCCCGCAGGTCTTCTGAGTGGTCTGTGCTTGGCGCCAGCAGGGTGCCCAGCCGGAACTCCTCCAGTGGCCAGCGCTCCAGCAGAACTCGGATTACCTCTGCCTGCTCCAGCAAGTAGCTGGCTTTGAACAGAAGTGGGTAGAGGTTGTGGGCCACACTGTCCAGGCTCTGCAGGGCCACCTGGGGGTGGGACACCAGGGCCTCAGCAGAAGCAAAGCGTAGTGACTTCATCATGCCCGTGTGCGGTGGCAAAGGCAGGACAGTGCTCTCCCCTTGTGATTCTCCCAAAGACATGAGTATGCCCTCCTCCCCTATTTTTAACTGCAGCTGCTGTGAGCAGCTTGCCTTTGGGAGGGAGGCGGCCAGCCAGTCCTCTGGTCATCTGATGGTTATTTTGGTCCCTGGTGCCTGTTTGGCTCTAGGCGAGGTGTCTGGCAGTGGCTGGCTTATCTTGGTGGAGCTTGGTTGGTGAAAGCAGAGCTGAGTGTTCAGCTCAAGGGGGCCTGGGCCTCGGAAAAGTGCTGCCCGTGCCCACTGCAGCAGTGGCCTGTGCTTGGGAGCGGCAGTAAGCCGGTCCTGGGGAGGCTTCCTTGGGGGCAGCACGAGCTTGCCCCGCAGTCGTGGGAGCAGAGAACACGGTCAGCCTCCGGGGACTGGAGTCCGCCCCTGCTGTACATCTGCAAATAGCGGCTCAGTACCAAGAATGGGGGAGTGCACCTCTGACAACTTTCCTGATCTCGAGAGAAGACAAGAAACGCCAGCCCCATGAGGTGTTGACACTACTTTGTCCCTGTAGGTGGTTCCTTGTGGGCCTGCCTGACAGCAGCTAGGAGAGGTACAGCTCAGCTCTACCCCCACCCCCTGCAGTGTCCAGCTGCCTGTAGTGTCCTCATCTGTGACCACAGGACCCAGGAGGTGGCCGGTGCCGCAGGTTGGATGGCAGGCGCTGGGACCTGCCATGCCTCCCCGACGGGGTGTTCACTCACTCTGAGCAATGTTCCACATACACCACTTTGGCATAGGGATCACTTTGAGCTAAAGGCACTTGAGCAAGAGCAGGTGTGCTGACCTCCCGGTTCCTCTTGAAAGCTGGAGCTAAAGCTCCATGTGAAAGTCACCTCCCTGCACCAGGAGGGGTGAGGAGCTCAGGCCACATTCTGAGACCGACTGACCTCAGGAAGTACATCACCTTCCTTTACTTTCCACAATCGGCTCTTTGCTCAGCCGATTGGAGAAATGCTTGGGCTTATCCACTTGGGGTCTTCATGTCCTGTGAGGGCTCCCCTGTCGCCTAAACTTTTTGTTAAATAAATCAGTTTGCTTTTCTCTTGTTAACCTGTCTTTTGTTACTAAGGTAAGTGGGGAAGCATTTCCTTCCTACAGAGCCTGGGCATCGATTTGATTGCTGTTAACTGATTACTGAGTAACACCCCAACCCCAACGCACACAGACACACGCACTCACAGTCACCATCCTTTGGGGCAGGGCTGGAGCAGTTAGCGCACAGGCCACCTGGGCAAGCACCAATCTGGAGGCATCACAGCTGGGACAGAGATACAGAGAGAGATGAAGAGGAGGAGGAGGAGAGGCTGAGGAAGGCAGTGGGAGGAAAGGACGCACTGAGGGTGCGGCCCCTCCCTCAGGGTCCTGCCAGGCAGCTGCCCCTCTGAGCCTCGCTGCACCTCAGCTCCCAGGGTGGAACCACCACAGTCAGGCAGGTGAGGTGTGGGCATTACCAGAGGGTGTTCCGTGTGGATGTGGACCCCAGAGTGAGGCCCTGCTGTCCCGGCCACACTCCCTCCCTCACAGGAGCTGGGCTCCCTGGTGACGTAGGTGACATGCAGGAGATGCATAACCACGTGGTAGAAACATGTCCCATTTATTTCTGTTCCTAAAGTTTGGGACAAGTCAGCACTAAAAAAAAGTAGCAAAACAGTTTACACAGACAGCAAATCCCAGAAGGGGCCCCTGCCGCCACCGCTCCTGGTCTAGGTGGTCCCTGTAGTTGAGAGGAGGAGAGGGTGTGGGGGAAGCTCAGGACGGTCTGGTATCTCCCCGGCTCTCCCTGCTTCTGACTCAAGTCACCTGGTGAGGGTGGTCCTCTTGGGCAGTGTCCACACCGGCAGGGCCTCCCAGCACTGGCTCCTCGGGGCTTCAGGCTGAACTGACGTGCCCCTGCCCCAGCCTGGCGCCTACCTGGGACACAGGGTGTGGCCTTGTCTCAGGCTCACAGGTGGAGGAGACTGTGGCCCCTCAGCCTAGCTTGAGTGCCATTCCGACGACTACATACAACTTACCAAAAATGAAAGAGAACTGAGATTCCCATTATACTTGCCCTGCATCTGGGACACACGTCTTTGGGGACCATCACCTACGGCCCAAGTTGCCCAGAAGGTGGGAAACACAGTCCCAGACTGCCCTGCTCTGAGGCCTGAGAACGTCTGGGCCTTCACGCAGATTGGGGGTCTGGGTGCTCCCACCACGGTGGGAAAGGCATGGCCATGCAGGGTGTCCACGGTGGGTGGAGGAGGAGGAGGAGCTATACGAGGAAGGATGAAAGGGAGGCCTGGCCACGCCCAGGTGGGGGAGGATGGGGAGGAATAATGGGATGACTTCAAGCCTCAAGGGGCGTGCGACCAAGCAGCCTGAGAAGCTGGGGGCTGGGTGTGTCAGGAGACCGCAGCTTCAGTGTTTCAGCCCCAGACCTCACACAGGTCCGGGCCCAGGTTCCTCTGCGCTCTCCCTGGGCTTCTGCCTGGAGGAGCCACGTCTTGTCCAGATCTCAGAGCTGTCAAAAGAATGACCCAGTTACACACGTGCCCTGGCCTCCTGCACCGGCCCCCTAACCCCCAAGTCTGTCACAGCACAGAGTCCTCGTCTGTGAGGCTCTACAGGGGTCCTCACACCCCTAGAGGCACTCCTGGCTCATGGACACACATCCTCTCTAGGAAGCACTTGGGGCCAGGGAAGGGCAGGACTAGGCACCGAGAATGAGAGCCTCAGTGAGGCCGACCTCGCTCGTGGCAGGGGCGGCGCTGGTCTGTGAGCTGGCAGGGCTGGGCCCGGTCGGCAGTGGCCACTGGCAGCCCTCAGCCGACACGGAGGGGCAGCTGTGGGTGGAAGGGTTTGGGCCTGAAACGTTTCAGGTCTGTGTTTGCCGTTCTGATTCTGGAACATAAATGTGTGTGTGTCGCACCAGCACCATGCATGTGAACGGGAATCACTTATGATTTCACACATGGTTTTCGGAAAACAGTCTATGTCACAGGAACGAGGGATCCGTGTGTACGACAAATGGAGGGGGTTCTTTCTGAAACTAATTGGAACCCCCACTCCTCCCCACTGCCCCCACGAAGTACCACGTGCCTGCTGCAACGTGGATTTGAAGTGTACACGGGAATACCTGCACAGAATCCTGGACAGCGAGAGTGGCAGCCCCAGCCAAGACACAGTCTCACCTGTGGACAGTCACAGGCCGAGCTCCAGCCACGGGGCACGGGCAGGTGGGAGTGGGTGTCGGGGAGGTCCCATTTTCAGGAGAGAGCCCCAGGTCCCCTTGAGCTGCTCTTGATAGGGGGACTCTGGAGGGTGCCCTAGAGGCAGGGATGGGTGGAGGTGGTCTCCCCTGCCTTGGCCCGGCCTCCGGGGAGTGACTAGCTACACCAGGGACTGAGGGGCCTGGCCCTCCTGTCAGAGGAAGATCTGAGCTCTCAGAAGTGGCTGGATGCTGGCCTTGGATATGCCGGTTACCAGCGGGTTTCGGCAGCGAACCCCCCAGGGAGGTTAGTCAGGGACATGGGGGAGCGGGGCAGCAGCCCTGCCTTGCCAATGTGCCCCTTCCTGTGGTGCTAATGTATGGCTGTGCCACTGAGATTTGGAAGCGTCTGCAACAGGCAGAGACACAGTCAGGCGGCCTGGGAGTGGCAGTGTGCCAGCGCCATCGGGGTTACAGTGGACGAGAGAACCCCTGGTACACTGGGGAAGCTGTGAAAGCCTGTTACCTGTGCGGTCGTTTGCCTGTCACTCAAACTGCTGTCCAGAAGCCTAAGACACGAGGGGTTTTGTTCTGACAAAAGGGGGGGTCACTATAGAATCGCATCACTGGTCATCCTGAGTGATCTAGGGCATGGGAACTAAACACCTGTCCCCAACTCTCAGCCTCGCACACCCTTCAAAGCGGACCTTCCCTCCCAACGCTACCAGGGGATGGGCTGCAGGCGTCTCCCAAGAACTGCGGATGCGCTTGCAGAGTGACGTCTATGACCTGGGGTGGGTGCAGGCTGCTGCACCCGCAGGCCCGGCCACATCCTGAGGAAAAGACCTCTTTGTTTCCTGTCTTACCGGCCCCTCTCCTTGGTCACCTCAGTCCCTCCCTTTCAGGGAGGACGTCTGAGTGCACATCCAGGGTGATGCCTGGGGCCTCCTCCTGAAACAGGCTGGGCCCCAGACACCCTCCGAAGGTCAAAATACACATTTGCATCAGTTCAGGGGAACACTGGCTCGCCAGGTCTATGATCCCATCAGAGGGGCAGAACTGGGGGTCCTGCAAACGTCCGAGGGGAAGCTGGACTCCAGGCGGAGCTGCTGACCCTGGACCCTACATCCTATGACTCCAGTTTGCCCCTCACTTGGCTGTTAGGAAACCGACTCTGCTGGCCACCAGCTGTCCTTCACCCAGGACTGTGGGGGCCTGGAGTGGGGGCAGTGCTGGGCTTGAAACCAGTAAACGTCAGATGGAACAGATCAGGCCTCCTTGTGGCCAGCAAAATCTAGGCAGCAAGAAGGCCCTCAATCTCCGTGGCTAAGTGACTTGGAACTGCCCAAGGACGGGGCCAGGCCTTCGGGTTGGAGCCAGCCCGCCAGGCATGCAGTGCTGGGGTGTGGGTTGGGAGCAGACTCGTGTGCAGAATGACACTGGGGTTTGGGGGTGCTCTGTGTGGCAGCCCAGCGTCACACGGGCTGGTACTCACTACCTACTCAGCACCTGGCCTCTTGCATGGGGTCTCAGAAGAGGGGGCACTCACGGTTGTGGTGGATTGGCCTCCGTCGAGCTGCAGCTGTGGGTCCCTCCAGAGAAGGGTGGGACATGTTCCCTGGGGGCCTTCATCAGAGGGCAGTCCTGGGGGGAGGGGCTGTGAGAGCCGGGGCTGGCCAGGGCTGCTGTCCCCCGACACACAACGGGAAGACTCGGAGCTCTCTGTCCCTGAGAAGAGGAGCTGAGTTAGGCCTGGTCCATCAGGGTGAGCGGGCTGCCTCTGTCCACCTTCTACAAGCAGGGGCCCCGGATCCTGTCACTCAAGGGCTGGCTGTTTCCTGCTCCAGGTACAAGTTCCCAACAGCCTGTGAGGGCTGGGTGAGAACAGGATGGTGTGGTTGGAAGGTAGGCACCACGTATGCTCACGGCCAAGTGTTTCTTGACCTGCTTTTTCGAAATCAGAGTAGAGTGGAAGACCAGGGTGGGAGGCGCCCAGGCAACCTCTCCACCAGCAGGAGGCCTGCAGCTCATGCTGGACGGCTCTGTGTCACCTCTGGACATGCAAGTCAAAGGGGAAGCAGAAACTGAGACCAGAGAAGGGCCTCATGCTTTAAACAATGGGCAAGAACAGACCGGCAACGCCTGACTCCCCCACCCCACCCCACTGCCCCTGAAGAAATAGGTTGGGTCCTCCAGTACCAGCCTAGACCCAGACCTAGCTGAAGCCACTGGGTGTAGGCCCAGGGCCACGCCCCATGTCTGGGACCTGTGCTCTAGGCCAGTGCCATGTGAGTGGCTGGTGGCTTTCCCCTGTACCCCTCTGCAGGGATCGCGGGGGCTGTTCAGGCACTGAGCCGAGGACAGCCAAGCTGAGCCCTCAACACATACACTTCCACCTTGTCCTCACATCCAGGCTCCTGGTCTTCACACTTGGCCTTGACCGGAGGCTGCTCCAGCCCAAATGTGAACTACCCGTGGTCCGGGAGCCAGAGATATGCACCAGGGGAGTGCAGGGGCTCCGGACTGGCAATGCGGCATGTCCCCACTGTGCTCCAGTGGCTCGTCCCATGGCGGCTGCTGCCTGTTCTGACCAGGTGTGCAGCACCTGGCCACCTGGGACCCCCGGCAGTTTTTATGCACAACGCCTTCAGCTGGGCACAGAGATGCTTTGGTGTCAGTCGCAAAGCCCTCAGATGCTGACAATGACATATTTCTGGGCTTGGGAAGGTGCTTGTTCCAGGCAGTGTGGCCTGAGGACGAGCCACATCTGGGCTGTGGGACCCCCACGCAGAATGCTGAGAGAACCAACTGCGGCGCATTCCAGACACATCCCCGCCTCCCTGTGGGGGTGTGTGCAAAATACTGCTCTACTGGGGCATGGCACAATGGACTGCACGCCTCTGAGATACAAACGGGCGACTCTGGACGTGTATACACGTGAGATCACACATGTATGTACACCTGAGCCAGACAGGATATACGTGTGGCTCACCAAGAGCTGCTGGCGCCCGTGTGTGTTCAGTGTGGTCACCGACACAGTGAGGAGCACTGGGTCCGCCTTGCACCGACCGGCCCTCTGTGTTTTGTTCCCTCTTCCTCTTTCTCTACTTTCTTTCAACTTTTCCCTTACAGTTGCATTTGGTCCCCTTCGTTGGTGTATCAGCTCTGACTCGTTTATTTTAGAGGTCGTCGGGGGTTTATAATCCGATGATCGGATGATCGCAGTTTGCCTTCAGGTGATGTCACTCAGCTCACCAGCACTGTAAAGCCTCGCGCCGGCGCCCTC